CATTGTCCAGATAAGAGGTGACGTTCATCTTCAGCTCAGTTGAGGTTCTGTTACATGTCCACGGCCTTGGGGAAGGGAGGGGTGAGGAGACAGTCAAAGCATCTTTGTTGTTTTCAAAACATTCCAGGAGGAGTTGAGATAAGTCCGGCGTCAAGGCCACAGTTTGGGTCAGGCAGAACTCGTGAATTGTTGTTTCTGCCTTTAAAGTCTCGCTGGTACATATTCTCTGATGGAAACTCCAAAACAGCCGAATTGATCCTTTACTCCAAAAGTCAAGCTCACAGCTTCTCCAGATTATTCCACCATTCATGAGTGCTGCCAGGGAGATCACAGTCCTGATACAGCTGCTCCAAATCCCTGTCACAGCTCCACATTCAGTCCGAGCACTGTCAAGCTTCAACACCTCCACACGAATTTGTAGACAATCCAGATTCCACCAACCAAACAGTAGAATCTAGTTGTCATCATGAATCCAATTTTTCCTCTAGAGTTCAGAGGGTCCTCTTTACCCTGACTCCTGTCGGGAGAAGTTGATCGATTTTGTTGAGAGACCAGCTGATCCTTCCAATTAAGAGGTATGCAGGAAAAAAGAGGCTTTTTAAGGGTTCACAGGACAAAAGAGCGCAGCAGGGAAGCGGGTGGGGGGGGGGGCAGAGAGGGAAAACACGTCTGGTTTCACCGTAGAGTAGCAAGAAAAAAAAAAGGCGAAGAAATTATCATCAATGTAAGATAAAAGAATGTCATGGTTGATATCCTTAATATTACCGAAGGAAAGAGTGTGTTGAGGTTTCTCAGAAGAAAATTTAAGATTGACACTGAATGAAATCATCAGGTGATCAGTAAAAGGAAGTTCATCAGAAGAACAGTTAAGAGGATACCTTTATTTCATACTAAATGAAATATATAAAGGTGTTTTTTTTTTTTTTGCTTGAATTTTATAGATCATAGATCTTATGGACAATTAATTTAAATGATGCATGTCTTTCTATGTTTTTCTTGTTATTTTTAATTTAGCGTTTACTCATATCATTCTATCTTAGATCTTATAAAAACTCTTAACACACAGGCAGTAAATTAATTAACCAATAATAACATAACAGCTCAGTGTTAAATATTGCCGTTTTGTCAGCGTAATTAGTTGTTATTGTTAGTTTTGTTTAATACCACTACTACTACCACTGCTGCTGCTACTACTACTACTACTACTACTACTACTACTACTACTACTACTACTTATCAAGATACTCAAAGCTCTTTACAACACAATCTGTGCCCTCATTTACCCATTCATACAGCACTCTACTAGATCTCTACAGACTAATCACTACTTTGTCACATTAATACACCGATGGGGTCAGTGGTGTAGTCTACATTTTAGTAGTGGTTATACTGTGCTTAGAAACCAAAGTACACCAGTTAGTACAACGTAATTGTCAATTTATTTTGATTTTTAAGCGTATTGAACATTTCAAAATTTCTCTGAGGATTATATTTCAATAAATATACAACAAACTTTGTACAACAGGTGGCTTCAAGAACATAGAATTTATAAAACAGTATCAAAGCAAACATTTTCAAGTATTAAGTACAGAAGTATTCATTATACAAAAAAACATCCTGATGCATTCTGAATAATCCAGGTAGAAAAATCTAAAACTGTCAAGTCAGGTCCTCTGGATGGGTTCAAAGACTTTATCAGTCTGATGAGCTATATTCAGCTCAGTCTGATAAATAGCACCTTCTCATAGTGGCTCAGCCAGTTTGTTGTTGACATCCAGAACTCGCTGTTCACATGATCAAGGAGGAGCTGATGCTCCTCCTTGATCATGTGATCCACTATGAGAAGGTGCTATTTATAAGACTGACCTTAATACAGCTCCTCAGACTGAAGACGTCTTTCAGATGAAAGACGAAACATTTCTACAATCTTGTTCATTTTTCAACCCATCCAGAGGACCTGACTTAACTTTTTTAGATAAACAAAAAACAGGTTGAACTAACTCGGTGTCTATAAAATGTTCCAAATGTGTTTGTTCTCGAGTGGAGACTAGTGCCCATGTTGATACCATTTTTTTTCTTGAAGTTCAATGGGATCATCATGATCAGTAAACGGTCTATTCATCTTTGCAACATAGTATGCTGTTCTAAACACAGCATCTGTCTCAGCCAGCTCAGTGTCTGGTAGAGCTCTCACCATACTTCCAAGCACATCTTGACCACCCTTTTGTGTAAGCTCTGAGCTATTTCATGAGCCCTGGACATCTCTTGCTGCAGAATCTTGTTCCGGAGTGAAGACAGTGCTGTTTCTCTGTTCTCATTTGAGCCTGAATGGATCTTAAAGGAGGCCCACTCCTCAGATATGGAGATCCTCTTCTCTGTCAGGACATCGGTTGACTTTATCCTACTGCAAACAGCACATCCTGCAAGTAAATAAAAATGATCATAATTGTATCATTTAAGTTTTCCTAATACCTGTATTACTAATAGCATCTACTGCTGGACCAAGTCGAATCATACATCCACAGTTACATTCATTATTAACTGCTTACACTTCTGCACTATGACAAACTAAAACCTGAAAATGAAATGATCAGACTGGAGTACATTTTATATTTCTACACTTTTTTTACGACACTACGGCACACTTTGACACAAACACATCATTTTTATATTAACATATTTATTTAATGTCAGTCCTGTGAACATGCACTTAGATGCTTCTCTATGAAATCAAAGTTCATGCTCAATAATCCAGGTAAAGGTCCGAAACATTTCAACACAAAACAGAAACCGTCCAGAGGACTTGACATAACTTTATTGCTCTATGAAATGTTTCTGTAAATATCTGGATGGCGCGTCGATTACACGCAGCTTCAGCTAGCTTCAGCTAACTATTAGCCACTTGTACTTACCAGGAGCAACGCTGACGTCAGCCTCGTTATTGCTGGTTTCGGCCGTCAAAGTGGGAGGTTTATTGCTCCATAGAGGTTCTTCTAAAGCTGCCTCTGTGACTTCAGGGAACACTGGTTTATAAAAACATTCAAAAAGTGTAGCTTGTTTTCTCTTCATGTTGCCTAAGCATTGAAATGATCTAACTGCTGCTGTGAATGTTTCTGCTCCCGCTGATGCTTCCCCAGCCAATCACAGGAGCAGCTAACAAACCAACAAACCAATCAGAGCAGAGCTGTGGAGGCGCTCAGCCAATGGCTGTGAGCCTCACTGGAGGAAAGGGGGAGCGTTTGCAGCGGGTGAAGCTGCTCAGAAAAACAGAAGTGCTTCATACAGACGAGACTGATGCTATAGAAGAGTTTAACTGCTGTTTAACATGTATGTTACGTATCATTGGGCACTTTTAAGTGGTTATACGGAAATTCCCAAGCATTTTTACTGGTTATACACCATATACTTGCGTATCACATAGACTACAGCACTGGATGGGGCACACATTGGAGGCAATGAGGGGTTCAGGGACACTTCAACATGTGACTAATGGTGGAGTCGAACCCCCAACTCTCGCATTGGAGGACGACTGCTCTAACACTCAGCCACAGCTGCTGCTGCTGCTACTACTACTACTACTACTACTACTACTACTACTACTACAGTAGTCCCTCGCTACTTTGCCATTCATTTATCGTGGACTCGCTCTATCGTGGTTTTTCAAAATAAAATTGGACATGACACACAACTGCCTGATTGATGGATGAGCCTCGCGATCTGCATGCAATTTTTATTTAAAATAAATTATTTTAAATTATTTAGCACCTCCTGCACCTTTGTGCAGCCCATACTGCAGGATAAACTTCCTGCTGCAGCTGATCAGCTGCTCTCCATGTAGAGTGTAGAAGTGGGCGTGGCCAAGAGCGCTTGCAGGTGGCAAAGAGCAGAGGAGGCAGAGAGCTGCAATCATGATATTTTGTGCTCTTTTAGAGCGTTTAGAGTTTAGAAACATTGTTTAGAATATTGCAAGAGTATGGGAAGGTTTTTAAAACATCTATATATATATATATATATATATATATATATATATATATATATATATATATGTAGTAAAATAAACTACTATTTACTACTTGTACTACTATTCCTACTTGGTAGTTTTTCACTTCTCGCGGGGCTTCAGGGTACGGATCCCACACGATAAACGAGGGACTACTGTACTACTACTACTACTACTACTACTACTATCACTACTACTGCTAATAAAAAAAAACAATAATAATAACACTAGTAATACTACTACCACTAATAATAATAATAATAATAATAATAAAGGTCCATTTTGTTTTGCAAGGTTTTTTCAAAAACAATACACTTTTCCAAGGAGGCTTGCTTGGACTACATCAATAATATAAACAGAGTAAGTAGTTGTCATGTTTTTTTTTAGACTGTCTTAATTTAGAGATCCTGAAATAATCCATTTATATCTGTATTTCCTGAAAAACTTGTCATTGTCTCAGTTTGTACAAACAGTATTTAGACAAGTACATGATTTTCTGTGTAGTTTTTGTGTACTTATGCAAATGTAGTTCCAGACACCAAGAAACCAAGTATTTTTTTGGCCTAGTTGAAGATTTTTACTTTATTTATGGAATCTGAAGGTTAAGGTGAATGAACTCTGGATCTGTGTAGGTGTCACAAAATACTGTAAATACATGAAATATAATAATCTAACAATTGATTATCTCTAAATTTATGTGCACAAATGTTATTGTAATATTTTTAACTAAAAATATCAGATTAAAAGTGAATGTCTTCTTATTTACTGCTTCTTTGCTTGACTTTGCAGAAAGAGCTCTCTGAAAATATTACCCTTGTAGAGGCAAACAGTCCAACGGTAAATCCAAAACAAGTCTAATATTTTTGCACACGCCATGTATCTAAATAGTTTATTTGTGTAATGGACTCATTTTATAGAATTTGCAAATGTGTTCTTCTTTCTGCAGGACATCTTGGACTGTACATTGTATAAAATACATCAAGAGAATAAAACTAATACACAGTTACATTGGATTCTAGTTGATTGCAATATAGCCGACTGGGTGAGTGAATACCATGTTTTCCTTGCCATAATCGTAAAGTTGGCATCATTCTTGTTTGCTGGTGTTTGTTTTGATCTTTTGATTGTACAAATGTAATGATGAAGCTGTTGTTTGTTCATAGACTGAATTGGAAACAAAATGTGGCAAAAAACCTGTCATGAACAAGAACATCTCTGTGTTGCTCTTGTTATGCTTGGTGACCACAAGGATCGAGAGCTTCAGTCTTCCAGGTATAAAGCAATATATTTGATTTTGATTTTTACAACCCCTTTGGAACACAAATGCATGCCACACCTTGTTTTTTCAAGTCAAAAGTCAAATGTTATTACTGCAGCAAATCACACCAGGAAACGGTGTACAGAGCCACTACCGTAATATGCTGTGATCATGAAAGTTTTACAAATAACCTTTAAAAATATATAATACATAGTGAAATAATATTGAACTGAATAGATCTGTCCATCTATGAGTGAAATACAGACTGCTTTTCTCCTTTTGACATTGTTTTAAATTATTGTAGTGAACAATGTGTCTTTTGTTTTTAGCGAGATTTTTGAGTTGTAATAAAGTAATATTTGTGTACTGTAATGATTGTGAGTGTGGACCCCAGGAAAAATAGTCTCTACTTCAGGAAAGACTAATGAGGATCCTTATATAAAGACAACAAACAGCTTCAATTGTACAAAGTGCTTCACAAAACTAAGATAAATGAAGTTAAAATCATCAGAGGGTATCAGTAAAACCAGAAACACAAAACCACAACCAAAACATTAAAAATAGACAATACCAGGTAAACCAGCACAATAAAAAACATAATCTTCTGCTTAACCGAGGTAACTTCCAGTGAAAACAACTGTGTTTGAAGGGTTCATTTAAAATGTTTAAATATTTTAAAGGATATTATCTGTACAAACAGGCTTTTCCATAAAGTTTGGGCCACGATGGTTAGAAGTTTTTGGTCTGCAGACCTTAGTGCTTTAGATGGAGTAAGAGGCTTGAGGAGTTCTGACAGGTATGATGGTGCTTAAATAATCTTTAACTAGGCCTGTCACGATAACACATTTTGCTGGGCGATTAATTGTGTCAGAAATTATTACGATAAACGATAATGTTGTTTGAAATTTTACAGTAATTAGTAATTATTGTCAAAAATCAGAAAAAGTCAGAAATTTTACTCTCGTACAAATCCTAAGTGCTCGATTACAACAACCTTTACGGCTGGGCAGTATTTGCACCGTTGTGTATGGTCCCCCTGTTTGAAGGCGAATAACGTACAAAAAAACAACATGTCACCTACTGTAGATTCTCCTACTTTGATTCCAGACATTTAAAGCATGTATGTCACTAAGTTTGAGGAAATGCAGCTGTGGGGTTTTAAAGACATTACAACTTTAATGCACTTTAGCACACAGCGTCAGGTCTGTGCTCCTCGTGTTTATGGGCAGGTTAAAAAGAAAAACACATTACCACTGAGTTTTTTTTACTTGTGTTTAACACCATTCATCTAAAGCAGTCCTTCTCAAATAGTGGGGCGCGCCCCACTGGGGGGGCCTGGAGCAATGCCAGGGGGGGGCGCATGTGACCCCGAGGAACATTTTGCGGCAGGGATTAATTTAATTTTATTTATTTTTCACCATTCTGTTTGTGTCAGGGTGCGTTCGGCAACTGTTTGCTAAAATTCGGCAACTCTCAGTCTTACTAATAATAAAGTTATAAACAAATATGTCTGTCTTGTCGTTTGGGGAGCCATGATGGAACCGTGTCACACTGTGACACCTCCTCAGCTGGAGATGCTCTGGACGTTTGTCACCCACAGCACGCATGAGACAGAGAATAAACTCAAAGAGAGAGAGTTACCTGCCCCTCTTCCTCTTTTACTTTAACCATTTTTTTTAGTTTGTCAAAGTAAGTTTTTATCTTATTTTTTAAATACAGAAGTAATGTTTAATAAATGTTGGGACCATAGGCGTCACAACCATTATATGTGAAGGGGACATGTCCCCCCACATTAAAAAAACGTTCATTAGGCCCCCCCCCCCCCCCACACACACACACACTTTTACTATAAAACATTAGTTCAAGCGGTGCAGTTTCTCTTTCTTCGTGAACAAATCCATTCCACTTGATTAATAGGAGAATACTCAATCTAATACAACTCCACTCCAGGTTTTCCAGGTTACCTCCACCTCTACACACAACTGTGCAGCTGCTGAGTCTCCTGCTTCGGCAGAAAACGCGCACAGGTGCAGGAGATGGAGACACCTCTCTGTTACTCACTTGCCAGTTTAGCAGCTTAGTGCAGGCAGCTGTTGACCAGGGGGTTGATCATCAACATATATTCATGTTAGGATGCTTGAGAGGAGCTACATCTGTAGCATGTTAGCTTAGCAGTAACTGTGACGCTGTGAGACGCTGCAGGTGTAAGAGACGCTGTGTGTTCAGGTGCATTAAAGTTGAAATGTCTTTAAAACCCCACACCTTATTGTCCTCAAGCTTCATGAGAAACATCATTTAGATGAGTAGTGTTGAACACAAGTAAAAATGTCCAGTGGTGATGTTTTTTATTTCTCTATAAAGACAAATAGTGCAGACCTGACGCTCTGTATTAAAGTGTATTAAAGTTAAAATGTCTTTAAAACCCACAGCTGAATTTACACAAACTTGGTGAGAAACATGTTTTAAATGTGTGGAATTAAAGGAAATCTAGGTGAAATGTTGCTTTATTTTTTTTTTGTACAGTAGTGTACACTTCTTTGCGTGCGCACACACTCACCTACACACATCATTGTGTCCCCCCCCCCCGCCCACATTACGGATGCTTCTGACGCCCTTGGTTAGGACTCTATTATTTGCTAACAAGTCCTCCGCTCTGGACGCATTTCACCCACAGCACGCAGCAACAAAGAGTATAAACTCAAAGCAAGAGCGACACCTGCCCTTCTTTCCTCTTTCGCTTTGACAAAATTTTAGTTTTATCGATTGTCAAAGCACAAGTTTGATAGTTTTTAAAATTTGTTATAAAAACAGATGTTTAACAAATGTTAGGACTCTATTCTTTGCTAACAAAATATATTTTGTCATTAAACAACTTGTCAGGTTCTTCTCTTGTGAGCGCGTTCCCCTGGAACCCCCCCCCCCCCCCCAGCCCGCTCGCTCGCTCTTGAGCTCTTTGCAGCTTCTCTGAGACCAAGTCCAGGTCCAGGTCCAGGTCCAGGTCCAGTTAAACACTGAGCAGGAGCTGAGAGCTGCAGGATCATGTTTCAAACTCCGCTTCAAAAAGCTGTGCACTGAAAAACGTGCTCATTGTAGCCATCAATCCTGACTTCATGATTTTAATTTAAAAAAAAAACACAAAAAAAAAACAGCACAAATTGTTTTATTCATTTTTGTTTTGTAGGTCAAAGTGTTTTATGTAACACTCCTGAGTTAAAATGTTGCCGATCAATTTTAATTTATTATTATTTATTGATTGTATTTAATTTGATTTTTCAGTATCAAATGGTCAAAAATGTTTACAGTTTAAATAAGGAGATATGTATTTTTTTTTAATTTCAGGCAAATTGTTGCACTTTAAGCCTTTTCTGTTACAGATTATAAAACAATGTTAATAATCTTTGTTGTAAGTTGATCTATATTTCTTTATTTATTTAATATTAATAAAGGTACAATGTTATGCAGAGGTGTACTTATAACAATTTTTTAGACAAATTATACTATTTATTGTCGTGGCGGAGAGTTGGGGGGGGGGGGGGGGCGAAAAATGTTTCCTTTTTCTGGGGGGGGGGGGGGTAACAGAAAATAATTGAGAAGCACTGGTCTAAAGGATGTTTTTCACCAAGTTTGAGGAAAATAAATTGTAGAGTTTTAAAGAAATTTCAACTTTAATGCACACGTAGTGCGAACATGAAAGGTACCGGCCCAGCCGTACGGGTTGTTGTAACCGAGCACTCTTGATGTGAGCGAGAGTGAGGTTTCTGAATCCAGGGAGGGCTTTACTGCAGTCATGTGGTTGTTGCACTTCTTTGTTGTCAGAAGGTGGGCTGCAGCATTCTGAGCAGCCTACATGTGCTGGAGGAGGGCTGTCAAACAGACCCGTGCCCAGGTACATGACTAACAAGTCAGGTCACATGATAAAGGACCATCAGACTAGCAGCTGATCATTAGTGCCCTGATGGCCACTTGTTATTCACAGAGGGCTGAGTGATACTAGCAATCACAGCATTGTAAGAGGGGGACAATTGAACCCGGAGGACTCCACCCTGTTTAATGATGGACAGGTTCTCCTCACAAAGATGGCCTCCTTTACTCCTCTCTCAAACCATCGTTCCTCTCTGTCCAGGATGTGAACATCTTCATCCCTGACTTGAATCTCTGAAGTATGCACTACTTTGTGTTGGTTTGTGGGGGGGGGGGGGGGGGACTTTTCTTTTCAGAGTGCCAAATCAAGATATTTAAAGAAAATTAAGTGCTGCATAGATATTGGAAAGTAAATTTTATTTAAGACGTAACCTGAAAGACTTTTCAGGCGTTCTCTTGTTTTAGCACAGTTAGCATGTTTAATATAAACGTGTATCCCCACTACTCTTAAGGAAAAGAAACTGGCTCTTGTGACATTGTTGGCCTAAATATGCAAAACTTAAAAGTTATGCGTTTACTTTTTGGAATCTTTAAAGTTCAGTCTAGTTTATAACCATAACAACCAATATAAAAATTAAAATAGTTTTAGCCCATCTTAGGACAAAGATTTTTGGTGTATTTGTCCAACGTGATTAATTTAGACTTTCTCAAGATTCTTTGATAGAATGCAGGTTTTCAACATTTTATTTAAAACAACTTTATTTTCACTTAAGGACATTGGGGGATGGGTTGAGATTATCCAGGGGCCACTTTTGGCCCTCGGGCCACATGTTGTCCATGTCTGGTCTAATAAAAAAAGTGAAATACATTGAAGTTGGTGTCTGTAGAAAATGTTAAGAAACATGAAAAAGCAACCTTAGACACCTTACTTCCTGAACTATGCTTACAACTGCACCCACCTGTTGATTAAGTGTAAGACGGAAAGCTTGCTCATAAAAGATGCAGGTACATGTACATTTGTCCTAATAAAGTACTGCTTGTTTGAATACTGCTGTAACGACGTAGCCGAGGTATTTATCTGAGTCACACTGAGTTTCACTGAACACAATCAATGTTGCCTCTTCTGACATAACCCTGAACTCCTCACAGTCCTTAAACTAAACATCCCATTATTACTAGAAATTAAATCTCTACAAAGTTTTTTTTTTTTTAATTAATTCACAAGTACATTATAATCATGACTAAAATGCTGAAAAACATAATCACATTTGGCATTCTGATTTCTCTCCGTTTCATTTTACAGAGTGTACCGGCTTTGGTGAGTACACATATTGGTGGTATAAGTATAAACAGCTATATGATGTTTTATAGTATGAACATGTGAGTGCTGAATACACTTGTTATGTTTCAGTTTACAATTTGTTTCCAGTGTATGACCTTTATAATTCCTTAACGGACCTCCTGGTATGTTTTTCTTTAGAGGTTGTATGGGAATATTTTCAAGACATATTGCTTTCATCTACTGGTAAGTTAAAATATTTTAACGTTGTTTATTGTTATTTTCCTTCAAAATAGCAGAATTTGAAAAGTGTAATTGCATTTGACTGGTGAGATTTAATATACTGATAGGACTCACTTTGTAGATCATAAATCTGTTCACTCAGAGAAACATATTTATGTAGCCTCTTTTAATGTGGCTGCAGCAATTTTTGAATTCAAGTATTTTAAAATTTTCCCAAAGAAATGTTTCTGACTGACCTGTGCTACTGCAGAGATGATGTTAAATCTGCTTTGTTTGGGGATTTAAAAAAAAGTGGGGATCTTTTTAGAAAATTTTAGTGGGGAAACAAATCTCTAACAAGCACGTTATTAAAAAGTAAAAATGAATTCTTAGAAAACTGAGAAAAGGTGTGCTATTGCAAATAAAATAAAAATTGCAAGAGGTGTGTGTGAGCAAGAAGGTCTACAAACCTGACTCAATTACATCAGTTCTGTCAGGAGGAATCTGACAAACAATTGTGAGAAATTAGTAGAAGAATTTGATCTAAATCATAAAGTTGAACTGCAATGATAATTACAATGAATTCCAAATGCTAAGAAAAAAGTTTATACTTTAAAGGAAGTATTAAAAAAAACCTCATTATTAGCATTTAATGCTATTATCATTTGACAAGTAGAAATTGTATTGGAGCGATACGGTGGCTCTGTTGGTAGAGCTGCTGCCTCTCAGCAAGAAGGTTGCTGAACTGACTCCCAAATGGAGGCTTCTCTGGTTATGGGCACCAGTGACCCTCGCAACCTGAAAAAAAAGAAGAGGGCAAAGATAATGGATGGATGGATGGAAATCCATCCATTTGGATAGATTTCCAAATGAATTTGGATGGGAGGCAGTCTCCCTTCCAAGGGTCTGGTTATTACTTGGATGGGAGACTGCCTGGAAATACCAGGTGTCGTAAGCTTGGGGAGTGGTGGTGCAGAGGTTAGAGAGGGTGGCCCTGTGATCGGAGGGTCGCCAGAAAACTTCCCGGTTCAACTACGCGGCCCAACAACATCAAAATGTGGGTGGAAAAAGTGAAACACCCACACCTGCCTCCACCACATTTGCCCCACTCTGGGCCCATGAGCAAGGATCTT